CAAGTTCCAGCAGCTGGTCCTGTTTTGAACTACTACATTCTCAAGCTGAAACCTTTTCCTGCTAATCCTGGGTTTTAAAACTCAGCCATTGTCAATATTTTCTTCTGCAGAGTGTTTCAGGTACTCCTTTCCATAAGTGCTTATACCACCCTTGAGTTTTTCAACTTTCCCATGACAAGTTTTCTGTTAGCCCTTTAACAACAGGTTTTATAATAAACCAGCACTGACACTGCATCTTGTCCTATGACTGTATTAGCATCAAAAATAGAATTGCAAAGGCTCCAGAATTTTACACCATTTACTAAGTGAAAATTAACAGTATATCTATCACTGGAAATACAACAGGATTTGGGAATTGCTGCTCCTGACTGCTATAAAAGCTGACAATGCTAATCAGGGATTTGTCAGTAATCATTAAAAAGCAATGTGATATGATGTCATGCAGTATTATCACCTAATTTATTTCCTGCCCATCTTCTTCATGCCTAGCATAAAGTTTGCCAACTGTTCATCTCTTCTCTTGCCTCTCTTTACCTGCCTCTTTTTCCTCTCTTCCAAATGCAATCAGAAGTCTATTATTACTGCAATTAGATGAAGGGCCACAAAATAGCATGTGAGGTAGTTACCCCATGGCAGACACTGACAGCTTTTGTCAGGTACTTATACATTATTAGCAACACTTAAAGCATATTTCCAGTTTCTCAGGGTATGGAGGATGTGAGCATGCAGAGCCATATTGTCAGGATGAGCTATAGAAAGAAAGACGTTACTAATTCTGGAGCTGCCAAATCTGGTAGCTCAAAGAGGTGAGGTTGCTGAAGCTCTGTGTCCACTGGTTTAGCAGGCAGTGAGGCTGAGCTAGTGCTCCCAGTAGTCCTGTGAGAGACTGGGCTGGTTAGTGACTCCAGCCACCCACTGGGGACATTCATACATGGTCTGAAGGTATTCACCCCTCCCTATGGGCCATAATTGATTCAGCTACTCTGGCACGAGAGGTAGCTGTGGCATCTTGGGATATGTCATGGACCATCAGAGACTCCTGAAGCATCCTGTGATCCACACTTTTACATCACTTAATGGGAAAGTCCCTGCTTCCAGGAGAGGCACCTGGGTGCTCTACCTGAACCTGAGCATTTATAATCCATGGAACTTCGCTGTTTTGTGGGATTTCTCTGCTCCTGATGGATCAAGATGGTGACCATAACATTGATCAACAGACACAAAAAATGCAAATTTAAGCCTTGTTTTGGGATCCCCTGTGTTTGGCATATTGGTCTTCTTTGCCCTTCTTTTTTGGCATTTTGGTCTTCTTTGCACTTTAGTCTGGGAAAAGGCATCTCTAATAATTTTCATAATTATATGAAATATAATTAATATATTAATTTAATAGGTCTTAACAGCATGCATGTACATGCACATAGACAGAGTACACATGTACATATACTCACAGCCCCACATTAACACAGGAAAATACTCACAGTCATGCAAACTCACCCAGTTCCTCTCTCTGACTGACTTGGATGAAGGCCTGATAGTGAGAAAAAAATAATATAAATGTAGATTGCTTGTTATGAATTATACACACTCACAAATGCTGTGGGTCACTCTAGCAGCTGGATTTAGGCACACACTGCACCCCATTGCTGCCGCTGGATCTGAGTCTCCCCAGCTGCAGGTATCTGGGCACATGAGCTCCTGTGGCACCTTGCCTCGCTCAGTTGCTGGAGCTCAAGCCTACAAATGCATCCTGGATACCTCCATTAAGTGTACTTAGATGTCCAGTCTATCAATAGCTCAGTCCCTGGGATCCCCTGGATGCCCAAATACCTTGCACAGAGAGACTCACATGTAAATATGTCTAATATTAGGCCCAAGAATTGTGACCTTAGAGTAGTTGACTCCCAGACACCCTAGCTCTCCAGTTGCTGGTGTGGACCTTGTAGTCCCTCCTGCAAACCACTTTGTCCTCTCCAGTGCCCAGCCCTGGCTGATGGCTGTACCAATATATGGTTCCGAAATCACCTATAGTACTCACCAGAGTGTTATGTTTGATGCTTACTAATGACTGTGCACTAACATTCACATACAATGTGCACTCCTGTCTTTAGCTGCTGGCTCCACGGCCAGCATGATCCAGGGTCTGATTTCCAGCTGCTGGTACTTAGACCTCCATGCTCACACATTCACGCAGAATGGCGATGCTCCATGGCCAGAGAAATAATTAGAATAGGCATTTAATAGCAAGACCAGCTGTTAAACAGATGCACAGTATGGCCAGACTGACAGTGTGATTGGTGGTAATCTTTTATTCCCACATGCCTCTATTTCTCTGTACTTGTTCCTCTCCAGAACACCGTTCACCCCTCCTTTTTCTGCCATTAGTTTGTCCCCTGAAATCCATGGGACTAATTTCTCACTTGTGAGAGCCCTGGAAGTTATCAAGGCAGGATGTCCCTTTCTCTGATTAGGTTACTGTCATTATTCCTCTGATCTTTTCTGTGTTTGTGGAACTGAGTTTTTAATCACAAAGAAGACTAAAAATATTAAGATTTTTCAATCAAAGAATTGTTAGCTAGTTAGACCAGCTAATGAAGTGAAATGGTGTGTATCTTGAGAAAGTTCTAAATGAATCTTCCACAGTAGCTCTACGCTTTTCCAGATTTCAGCCTAAAGTAAGGAAGTGATGTCACCTGGGACAAAGCACCCTTACCAGCTGCTGCATAGTACTTGTCCAGGAAGATTAAAGGTACATTTTGCTTCTGATACAGTGTGGCCATCAAAAGCCATGATGCTCACTACATCATAACATCTCAAAATGCAAAAAAACCCAATCCCCTGGCTGTCTTGAATTTCTGTTTTATTCTTCTGTACTGTTCTTGCAGCAGATGAAAGATTGTCTCATGTGGAACTTTTGATAACTAGTCTGTGTCAGCATCAAAAGTGTGCTGGCATGGAGTAAAAAGGAAAAATATTTTACAACCGCTTTGCAGTTAAAACCTTGATGCATGATTATTCACAGTGAATAGGGTTTGTACTTGCAAACCTTTTCATAAAACACGTGTCTAGATAATATCTGTGCTGAGGAACACTGCATAATAAGATGCTGTCACTTTTTTCTATTAAAGTGGTTGTGAACTTATAAATAAAAGTTAGAAAATGCCGTATCTGTTTTGCTGAGACACTAACCTATGTGCAGTTCAGAATGAGGCTGCTGAGGATGGAGCTTTCACCTGCATTTATAAAAATGGAGCATGGTGGGTGATTCTTTGTACAGAAGGAAACACTGCTGTTGACAAATGAGTAGGGCTACACATTTTCTCCTACCATATTTAATAGATATAATTTTATTTCTTAGATACATCACAAGTTTCACTGAAGCAGTTGTAGAATTAAAATATTACTCTAAACCAGCTACAGGAACACTGTTTCATAGAATCAGACCATAATCAAACAGTTTTGAAGGGACCTTTCCAGGTCATTTGAGCCAATTGTTCTATAGTTTTATCCTTGTCATGGTGATAATTTTTTTCTTCTGTCTGTCTGTCTGATTCCCTTTGGGCAGTTTTTGTCTATTGTCTGCTGTACTTTCACTGCAAAGCCCTCTGCATTCATTATAGTCTTGCATTAAGTATATGAAGACATTAATCTGTCCTTCTTAAAGTTGAATAAATCTTGATATATCCAAAATCTAATTTCAAGTTCATCAGTGCATGATTTGTCCTCAAATCCACTTTGAGAGTCAACCTTGCCCAAAATAAAATGCAACATTACTTGGGATCTGTAAGTGGCTGTCTTGGTGCTGAAATCCCTGAGCAGCTATGCACTTACGCAGTAGTATTTCCAGAAAAGAACAGTAGCTTCTGAGGATCTGCCTCTTGTCTGGATTGGATATGTTTTTTTTTTCATGAGTGGACATTTTGTAGACACAGAAAGCTGCCAGATGTACTTTGCTTTGGAGAGAGTGAATTGGATCCAAATGATATCCAAGTGCTCAGTGTGGAGTAGGAAAAGGAGGGTAAATGAATGTCAGGCACAACATGTATGACAGAGCAGCAAATGACCACGGTAACTACAGGCACAGAGCTTCAAGTTTCCAGGAATAGCTTCATGCTAAGTCAAATATTGAATTCCAAACTGGATGCTGGATTGAGGCATGTATTTATTATGGGTAGAAAAAATAAGAAGAGCACAGATTAATGATCTGAGCCTACCCTCATAAAAGGATTCCTGAATCTCGAGACATAATAGTAGGTGACTATTCTGACCTCTGCCTTTACATTAAGGGCTTCCTGGTGAAGGTTTCTTTTTGGGTCATCCTGATTCTTACATAATCCTGTACTACCCATGGTCATTTTACTGGTTTGCTTGAAGAAGTGCAGGTATTCAAACTGCATGCTTCACTTCAAGAAAAAATAATACTAAAGATAGATAGATTAGATAGATAGATAGATAGATAGATAGATAGATAGATAGATAGATAGATAGATAGATGTTAGATAGATATTGCATAATCTGAACCATAACAGTTCATTCCAACCCAAAGAGAAGTTCAGAATAACATACATAGCAATGACATTTTGAGGTTTATGAAGCTAAAGTTAGCTGCTACTGATGTGGAAAGAAAAAGCTATGAACAATTTTTCTATGACAGACTGCCCAATGAAATTCAGAAAGAGTTTATTGTCTGTTATTCATGGCTAAGGAATTTAGCATTGACATTTCTACTGTAAATAACCTATAATTTGCATCTCTTGCATATCTAAAAGGTCTTTTCCACTGGACAAATATTAGATATTGCATTATATGTTTGATGGCCTATCTTATCCTGTATAATGGAGCACATAGACTGTTTCTCTGGTTTCTATTTGGATACATCTATTTACTTCTAAATGATTAACCTTTTCCTTCCCAGTTCTGTTATGTTTACACCTTTGTATTTTCCTGTGTGGAAGACCTGTACTTTATTCTTATTTGTTTCTCCATTTGGTACAGAATTTTAAAAGAATTCTTATTAACTCTGCGGTTAAGTTCATACAAACTGTACCATGGATACAGAAGTGTGACATCTCCTGGAAAATGATGAACTTAGTAAGTTTTAAAATGCAGATCTTGTATATATTAAAAATTAAACATATAACACATTCACTGAATCTACAAAGTGTGCTGATTTTATAAACCATGTTACATAACAGAGTGAAAACTAGAAACAAGGACATGCACTCAAGTTCAGAAATTATAAGACATCCAAGCAAATTAAATCTTAATTCCTTTGCTTAAGGTTGAATACAAGCCACACTATCACTAACCAATTTATCACATTCCTTAGTAACTTGCAGTTACATTGCAAATTTTCCAAACATATGCATATTCTAATATGAAAAGCCATTAAGACTGAGTTTGGCTCATTATAAAGAACTTTGCTTTGTCATAAGGCAACAAAATTTTACCATGTGCTGAAACAGCACAAAAGAATCTAATATTACCTTAAATAAACTTCAGGAGGAAGTTATTTCTCCTGTGTTTTCTCAGTTACCTGAATACCATAATGCATTTTCCAGCTGCCCAAAAACCAATAGATAAATAAATAATTGTTTATTTGTGTTTATCAGCAATTGGGAACAATCAAAGTAGTCTTGAAAAAGGGGAATAACAGATGCTGCTTTATAAAACATGTTGGCCTGTGTTGAGAATCTCTTTCAGGAATTAAATTGATCAGGAAGAGAATGATAGTGGATGCTTTCTGGTTTCAGGTTTTCAGAGAAAAAAAATATGCACTGAATTTTAATAAATTACTGGGTTCATGTTTGTTCAGACACAATTTCTATTTTTCTTATTCACCCCTAAAGAGTGAAAAAAATGTAAAAAGATTAAAAGATGAAAAGTGAAAAACAGAAAAAGGATGAAAGCTTTAACTATATTAAGAATTACACGTAGTCATAAAAATGAGATGGAAGAAATTCTATTGGCAGGTCAAAAAATCCCCTTTTCCAAATAAGAATTCTAAGATATTAATTATGTTCTCTTCCCAAGGAGTGGGTGATTTGGACTCCACAGACCCTAGAAATGGATGAAAAGGTCTGGGACCCTGACAAAAGGTGAAGACATTAGCACTGGATAAGCTACCACAGAAAGTCATTAATGGAGAGCACATCCAGTCTTGGTAAGCTCCAGTCTAACACTGCCTTTCTCTTAGCACTTACAAGGAGATGAAATACAGAAAATCAGGGCCAGAGGAAGGTAAAAGCATGCTTACCCAGACAGCTGGGAAACCACAGCGATGGAAAAACGTTCCAGAAGAGAAGCATATCTGATGAATGAAGAGAGAGGAAAAGAAAAAAGCAAAGAGCTGACCAGTGAAACAGAAAGCAGATTAAACAGTTCACAAGGAGACCTCAAAGTGCAATGAAATTTGTGGTGAATGGCAAAACTGCTTTGTGGAAAAGAGGTCCATAGCTAATTTGTCCTTCTGCTTATGAGAACTGATAGAAAAAGGAGTACTTTAACAAGACAGTTAAAACAGTCTCAATTGGACTGCTGGAAGGCACAGTAGGTCAAAGCAATATGATTTTCAAAACACATAGGGATAATACTGATTTACAAAACAGCAGGCTAAAGTAATTTATGAGATTAAATTTAATTAAATTACCAGGCCATCCACGATTCAGAGGGAATTGGGAAACAAAAGTAAAAAACATGAGGATTTTCTAGTGGTGATTAAAATAAGCCAAAAAACAAACTTTAAAAATTTTGCTTTATCTATTTTTGATAAATACGTACCATAAACACCCCTCCCCATTGTATGACACATTGCCTCCTCAAATGCCTGTTTCCCACATTTTCCACTGCTGCATGAGCGCTCAGCTAAATTCAGTAGGTGCATTTAAATGAGCATCTGAGTTTGGATCAGGAGGGCACTTTTGAAAGCCTCACATACCACTCTGCTGTACACATGGCAAAGCTGTCTTGAAGCAGGCTCACTGAAATTCCTTTGAATGAAAGCAAGCTGGAAAATTGATCCCAGGGACTCACCTAGAGAGCTCCAGCTGCTAAAAAGTACCCAGCCTGTGGGGTGATCTGTGGTGAAACCCTTTGAAGTGCATTTTACATGGCCATCAGCCCCCTGCTCCAATTGTTGTTCTGTACAGACCTGCTCCCTCTGGCCTATTTTTTAATACAGGTACAGCCTTAGGATGTGCAGAGGCAAGCACAAATAGTGGATAAATGTTAGTATTTTTAGCTTGATATCATGGGGACTGAAAGCAAATTCAAATTCTTTGCTGAGCTAGGAAAAAAAAATCAAATTGAGGCTATTTGGAGGTCCTGACACCTCATTGTTTCATTGAAAATAAATCATATAGAGTGACTGAGAGGCATAGAAAAATAACTAACATCAATAAAATATTTCTTTTCTGTGAGCATTTTAAATCTCATATATTTATGTTAATATTTATATAAATCTTAACACTCAGAGATTCATAGGTGATTAACAGTATATTTCATGCTATTTGTTTGAGCTTATTCTATGAGCTTATTCTATGCCTAGATATTTTAAAAGGGATTGACTGACACTAAGGGGATAGCTAAAGCAAAGGAAGAAAAAAATTTTATATGCTCATGTTAAAGATTGGCTGGTTACTCTGTCCACGTGCTTGATTTTGCACTAGATTTTTTCCTTCATAGAGATATTGAAACTGTCAGTGCTTATTTTGACAGATGGCAGGTTTTTCACTCTTTTAAGCACCAAGGCAATCTTTGCATCAGTTATTGTACCTCTAGTACTGTTTTGAAAAGCACTCAAAGCAAGCTTCTGCCTCGGCAAACAGGATAACAAAGAACTATATAGTATTTTCCATGCGTTTGATTCATGTCTCCAATCAAGAAACATTCATTGCTGGTATAAAGAAGTGCTCAGTGTTTGTCAGTTTTTTGGACTTGTGTCAGATGAAAAGTTGGAAAATACCTTAGAGTTTGAAACATCAGCAGCTCTGTTTTGCAGGGGTAGGACCTGACTTTCTATTTCGTGGAGGTGGTAGTGCTTTGTGGATCACACCAAGGGACTTTTCAAACCTCCTAGGGCACATTCTTATATTTGTCTAGCCTGTCATATGCCTGCTATGGTGAAAAGGTTTCCTAAAAACCAGAGAAATTCTGGTATAAGAGCTCCACAATATCCTCTTGATACAGCACAGTGTCTATAACCAAGAAATAGAGCAATGACCATGAAATCAATATAATACAATAATATCTGAATTGGGTACCACTAACCTGTGCTTCGTGGACTTCAGTACTCCTAGGGAACACTTGTGCACATTTGTAAACTGGTTTGGTTCAAAGGTACTTCTGTAATGACTTTCTTGATCAGTGCCATTTATTAAGCTTTGCTTCACATCCTGGAGTTTGTAGCCAAAACCGAGGCAATAAATCAAAATAAAAGTGGACTAATCACAATAACATGCATATTAGCTTTCCTTCAATCCACAGAGAAGTGCATTAAAATAATAAAGAGCAGATGTTTTACGGATTACAAGTGTTTTGTAACACTGTCTGGCACAAGCAGACACAAGATATAAAGGTTTTACTTAAGAATGTGCACAATGTGATCACCACAGATGTAAACCCCAAAGTTGAAATGTGGATTATTTCCTTATCTTTACTTATATCTGTATCTATGTAATCTATCTGTGTCTGTGCTTATGCCTATACCTATATCTATTTCTGTTCCTGTATGTAAATAGAAATGCATATGTGGTGCAGAAGTAATATGTATTTCCATTTACAGGTGGTGACATATGCACAGCAGTTTGACATCCAATTCTCATTATCAGTATTTCTCAGCACAGCTCTTCTCCTACTGATTCTCACTACCTCTTCTTGCCAACACAGTCCCAATGAACTGTTTATTTGCTCCAACAGAGTGATGAAGATACCAGAAGAACCTGTTGAGTTTTGCATAACTACTTTTTCTCTGCATGTTTTTTGATAGTCAGTGTTCCATTATTTCTTCTTAAGAAGTTGTTATAGAAAATAAAAGACAAAAAGAGAAAAAGAAACAAATTAAAGGAAAAAAAAACGAGAAAAAAAATCGGAGAAACCATAAAAGATCACATTGAGAAAAACAGACTACAGCAAGCATTTTTAAAATTAATAAGAATTTTATCAGAAATTTTTACTTCAAAGTCATGTGAAGGCCAGGAAGGTGAGTTTTACTTCATTGTTAGAATTAGCTACATTATGAAAGCTAATTGCAAGTAACCTCTCACAGTTGTCAAGAATTCCCAAGTCTACAGTAATAGAAAGCCTGGGCAGAGATAAAATGAAAACACAAGCATGCCTAGATAAAATGCCTCAGGGAGAGAATTAAGGAAGTAAATAACTTCTAATAGGGATATAAATTATTTCATAGTGGTACCACCAGTGAGGAGGTTTAGTTAAATGAGGATTGCGCCGTGGGATGAGGGGGAATGAGATTTACTAAAGTATATGGAAATTGGAGTGTTTAGGCTGATATTCATGAAGAGATGTTGGTATGATTAATTCTGGGTGTGCAAGTGGGTTTTGCAGTGCTGAACTTGTCCCTTGTATTCTCAGTGATTTACATGGGGGAGAGGCTGGATACTGGTAGTTTCCAATGCTTGATTCCTGGGGTACTTCAGTTCACCACTAAGACAATACTTTTGTTGTTGCTGGCTCTTAAAATAAGTATTTTTAAAATTTCATACTTAAAAAAAGTAATTCAAATCCAACGTGTTGTTTCTTTAAACATCTTCAGAGCAGTGATTCCATTTCCTTCTGTTTGATAAAGAAATTGCTTTGACATTGTTAAAAAAATCACATACTTTCTCAATACTTTAACTAAACTTCTCATTTAGTAATAACCAGTTATTGTAATGACATTTGATTTTACTATGTCTAGGGTTGTTGGGGAAAAATGAAGGTTTCCAAAAAGTATATTTAATTGAAAAAATCATTCATTTTAAAGAATCAGTGAACAAAGTTGTAGGATATGACCCTTTACCATCTAACCACTAAACTGAAAATAACCTGAAAATTTAATTGAAGACAAAGCAAAATCACCACAATAAATAGTATTGGCTTTTTACATATTTATTTGTACTATCTGGAAAACATTCTGGTCTATGTATAAAACTCCCAAAAACAGGGGATCTGTGGTGAAACAAATAATATTCTGCTAAAATTCCCATTTCAAACATGTATTTCCCAGAGGAACTCAAAATATATATAATAGATATTAATTACAGAGGAAGATACATCTGCAGCAAAATACCAGCTCTCTAGTGTCACTTCAGAATGAAATTTTGTTTCTGAGAAGTCAACTTCCAAGGAATGGTACCTGTTGAAATCTTACCAAGCATTGTGGCATGAAGAGCCATCACCTTCAAGATATTAGTCCCCAAAAGTTCAGGACTCGAAAATAGATTCAATAGATTCAAATAAATTGTTAAAGTCATCACTGTTTCCTCAAAAATGTACTTATTGTCTATATATATTATTTAGACAATTTTTCTGCTCTAGGTAGTATTTTTAATGATAGATGCTAAATGAAATGAATTTAAAAATCAAATTTTTCAGACCAGTCTGGTTATTTGCTATTCTATTTTTTATAAAGGATGACAGTTTCTACTTAAAGCAGTGACTATTTTTGCTGTTTACATCCTTCTGCCAAGTAATGATGTTGTTTATACTTACTGAATGTGGTCACTGGCATTTGTTTTTCCTGGCTCTTCTTGCAGTTCAGGGCTCCTGCTGTATGTTTTACACATCTCAGTGCCAATAACTAGACAGCATACAGCAATCATTCTCTTTTTTTGTAAGAAAAAACATAATTGAGTAAAATAGGAAAGCAGGAGACCACTTTTTTTGACTATAACATCCATTCATAAATCTTTCCTGAGTACCTTCACTGCCATGTGACATTTGAGTGCAGCAACTTGCACACTTTGGGCAAGATGAACTTCCCATGTTTTCCTCCAGCAATATATATTAATTATAATGTATTCTCCCTGGCTTTATACCTTCTCTGTCCTCAGCATACCTGTCTGTATGTATGTCTGTGTATAAGTACACACAACCTCCCGTACCCTGAAAAACATTCCTATATATTATGCTTGTGAAGATGTGTTCTCTGATTTCTCCCAGGCTTAGTGTCTCACTCTTCAGTGGATACAAATACAGCACTTGTACAAACATCTTTAAAGCTCCCATCTGTGTGCACTTATCCAGGAGAGGCTGCATTTTCTCCCATCCTTCAGGTCAGATGCGCCTCGCTGGTTCATGGTGACAACCTTTGCTAATACAAATATATTTAAAAAAATAAATTAATAATAATTTGACCCCATGGTGGTAGCAGTGCTCTAAGGGAAGATAGTGGTACTGGGTTATTAGCAAAATTACAACACAGCTAACATCTGCTGCAGCAAGTCCTTCTGTTAGTTTGCTGTGAGTTAGCAAAAGCAAACTTGTTCAGCTACTGGCCATGACTATTACCACTGAGATTTTTTATAATATTAACATTTTCTAACACTAACATTACTTTTTAATAGCTGGACAAATAAGATTTAAAGGTAAATCATTGTGAATTGTCAGTTCTAGTAATCAAATATTTCAGTTCTTCCTCTGTATCCCTGATGCTCAGCCTGCTGGCATATCTTTAAATTCACTTTGAAAATCAAGGTGCTCTTCAAGAATTAGAAACTGTGGAAATGTTAATTCTGTTCACTCTTCATGTAAGTTTCTGGAAGTTAAGAGCAGAGTGATCTTGTCTTCAGGTTAATAGAAAGATAATTGACAGCTGGTATAATTAAAGCTGATTGAAGGAGAACATTATCCAGTCTCAAAAAATGAAAGCAAAACGTAGCAGTATAGCCAAAGAGGAATGAAGCACTTTATCTTGACCCATCCTTTAAATACACATATAAATGTAAATATGAACATTTATATATATATTTGTATGCATATATGATCTGCCATAAATTAGAGCATAGGAAGTAAGGGCAGAAAAAGAGAATTTAAAATCTGTTGTTCATACAGATCATTGTATCCTATTGACCTGACAGCTGACTTAGCTGACTAAAGCTAGGTGAGATGAACTGCTCTGCCTCATGGTGTTGCTGATTTTGATACTAATTTAACTGTACCTCTAAAAGAAAATGTTCTAACAAGCCATGTATTATAAAGACAACGGCAACCAGAGGTCACTAAGCTATTCATCTATTTGAAACTGGACTTGTAGCAGTACAGACCCATTTGGCATATGAATTGTGACCTTTTCAAATAGTAGAAGCAAGTGACTCCTAAAAGAACATTAGTGAAGGAACCAGATGTGACCATAATGTACTGGAAGAACAAGCTAACACTTTTGTTTTGCTCTTACTAAGATTTATTAAGTGCTCATGTAACTAAATGAGTTTTATATTTGCATTTTTATTGGGGGAGATGACATTGAAAGGAAATTTCTATGTAACCCACAGCTACTCTATTGAATTATCTGCTTCTTTCTTACATCTATTGCGTTCAACCCATTTTATACCAGAAGCAACTTGGCAACATTTCTCTTTCAGTGTGGGTGAGTCTTGAGAAGTGTAATATTTATGTGTAGGTATTGAATGCCTTGTTCAGATGTTAGAAAGGCACTCTTATATACAAGCTCACTCTCACTTTTTTTATTTTTTTTCCATGGGTGGCCCCACAGAATGGCTTTTTGCAAGCATTAGAGAGCACACACCCAACGTACCATTTTTAAGGTGTCAAGCAGATTGTATTTCTCATTCACCCATGAGTGTTTTGGTGGTATATCTCTGTGTACTTTCTCAGATGAGCTATTTCAGACTCTACTCATCTCTATTTATAAGGCACCTCACACAGTTCTCATCTGATTCATTTGTACTCAGTGAACTGGTACTTGAAAGAAACAATATATCCCTCCTCTACCTCCACAAGTTTGCAGTGTGACAGATGAAGGAAGGAGGGATGAGCAAGCATGGCTAGAGAACTTTTTTTATGTATAAGTCTTTCCCACTCCTGTGACCCAGCTTGTCCCACCACTCAGTAGATAAAGCACCCCTGGGAAGCCATCTGAGCTGCCTTTACTGTTCAGGTTCAGAGTCCAACCCTCTGATCCAGTCAGTCCTTGCCTAAATCTCACGAAAGCAGCTGTTCCATCATGCGTGTCATGGAATGCCTCTGCACAGACTGTGTCTCCTTTCTGAAACAGCCTTATCCTGTGAGCTCTTCTTCAAGAGATTTTCAAAGAGGAGAAACTCATGAGAACAGGATTTTAAAGAGAGCCCCAGATGCAGTGACAGATGCTAGGTCAGCTGCAGCTCCTGCTCTGTCCTTCTCTCCATCTGGAGCACATTTATTTTTAGAAGGTCATGCTTCTCCCCTTTCCCTTCAATCATACAGAGATACCATTATGCAGTTCAACTTAAATACACAGTCTAAGCTCTCAGGATAATCCACTCAAGATGTAGATGGTGTAGATCCCGAGCTCTTGTAGTGTCACAGGCAGGAACCATTTTCTTTGCTGATGGTTTCACAAGACTTCCAGATTTCCATGAAAGCTTATTTCCAGCTGTACTGCTCTACAGTTCTTATTGTAGAGCATATCACATTCACACTAGCCAGCCTTCAGAGACAATGGAAAGAAACAGACAGAAAAGTGATTCGTTGGACTTGTGATTATGTCCCAGAAATGCCTTTTTCTTTCCACAGACTTCATGGTAATTGAAAAAAACAGCTCTGAAGTAGAAAACTTTCCATAAATGTTCTGATATCCAGAGGTAAAAGAAAATTTACCCATGATTTTAAACAAATGTAGACAACTTCTGTGTGCCAAAATAAGTCTTATTTTCACAGAGAAAAGTACTTAAGCCTTGCCCTTTATAGTAAAAAACATTTTATTTCAAAACAGCTGATAAAGCTTTTCTGTATAATTTCTGGGGAAAAAAAATACAATTCTATCCCTGCTTTTTAGCAAAGATCTCTTATTTGGGTATCCCCATGAAAGAGTGAAAAGAATGCATATTAGGTGTTCTGGCAAATTACAGAAAATACTAAATTTTCTGATTAAACCTACCGTTTCATCAAGCAAAATTAAAGTGAAAGGCACTCTTATCTGCATATTTGTGCATTTATTAATGTGTGAACCTTTTTCTGATTGTTCATCAAAGGATGAATTTTTCAAATTCATTATTCTGCAATGGTTGTTTTCTCTGTCAGGAAAAAGAAGAATGAGTCAGAGAAGTCAGAATAACATCAAAGTCTAATCCTGGAAAATGAAGAGGATCTTGAGAAGCTCTTCACCTTTAAGCTGTGCACAAATGATAGGTGAATTGCATGATGAATGCATTTAGAATAATCTAATATTTATGAAGATTCATGAATTAAGATTCTGTTACTGTTCACACATTTTCAGAATAAAATATTGATACATAGAGTTTTCACTGGAACTCTCCCTACATGGTTCAGGCTTTCAAACATTCATTTCTTCTGAATTGCTCCATGTCATTTATGTTGTCAATAAAGGCTTTACTAATTCTTCTTTTCCTGATGAAGAGTGAATTCACTTATGTCTTCACATATAGAACCATCCACAGTCCCTTGGCAATAAGCTCTTCAGTGCAGACCCATCTGTTAATTAGGGTCAAGTTGAGCTCTGCCATGTGATCCAAAACCCAGGCAGGACAAAGAATTCCTGCAAAGTGGGCAGGGCTTGCCATGCATCTCTGCAGAGCAATTCCCAATGTGCTGCTCTGTTAGCAGAGGAAATAGCAGCACTTATGTCCTGGGGTCTACCTGACTTTTAGATGAATTCTCTGCACCTAATAGGATACAAAGCCCGGATAAAATGTTCTTAGTGGTTGAGACTTACGTTACTGCTCTTGTTTGCTGATACTCTGTGAAGAGCTGGGTCGTTAGTTTTTCCCTCAGCTTGTCAAATAAACCAATGTCCTGTTTTCAGGAAATTCGTGGGAATGGAATTTTTCCACCATCTGTTTTGCTGTCAGATTTAGAATTGGAAATCTAAGTGCCCAGGATGAGAGGGGGGCTGGTTTGATTTGTTGGTTTTGGTTTTTTTTGGTTTTTTTGGGTTTTTTTTAGTGAGAGATTGAGGGTTTGGAAACTGTGTACCAACTTGTTTATATGCCTATAAATTGCATATAAATGAAGATATATAGGCATATACTTTACAAAAAATGCATGGGTAGCCTCAGAAGCCACACACTTTAGGTTGTCAAGCTAAAATTGTAAGATGAGAAGGAGTGCAGGCATGAAATCCAGGGGTTTGTGTGAAATTCTCTGTCTCTCCAGACCATGAGCACCTGAGACAGGGCTACTGCTGCAGACATGAACCCAACCTCAGCTGAACTTGTGCACTCTATTTCCTGAGAGAGCTGAGCAGGATTTCTCTCTCATGCTGCAGCAATGAGGCCTGTCATCTCATACCAATAGGCTAAGGCTTGAGGTCTGGGTCTGTCTCACAGATGGAGTTCAAATCTGTCACTTCTTCTGTGGGTAGCTGAGAAATGCCAAAAAGCAAGCTGTGTTTGTGTGGGCAGGCAGGGCAGAATGGGGGAGAGACATCACCACTCCTTCTGTGGTGGTGAGGTTTTTCAGATGGGAATGAAACATTTCTGGTGCTGGGAAGGATGCTGACAGCCTGCAGCACAGTTCTTCAGCCAAGGAGAAGACCTATGACCTGTTTTTTCTCTCCTAGAAATATCTGATTTTGAGAGGTTTGGGAGCTCCATCTTGTAGAGAATTTGCTTTCCAAAATTAATCGAGGTACATGGGAAATAAAAAAATACTTTGAAAGACACGTAGTTAAAGACCACTTGAAGCTGAGGAATTTATCAGGGTCGGTATCCCTCTGTCCTAGCTTCTGTTTGACCAGGAAGGGCTTCCAGATGAGGCCTCTGAAAAATACAGTCTGTCCCCAATCAACTGAAGCACAGCCAGCTAACATGTGACTCCTCACTCAGCCTCTTAGGATCACAGAATCACTTCGGTTGGAAAAGACCTCTAAGATCATCAAATCCAACCATCAATCCAGCACTACCAAGTCCACCACCAAATGATGTCCCTAAATGTCACATCCTCACATCTATTAAAGACATTCAGGGATGGCTGCTCAAGAACTTTCCTGGGAAGTTCTTGTGTTTTTCCTGTTTTTCCTTCTAAGACACAGACGCTCCTGCTGTCTGATGTCAGTGAGTCCTCTGGTCCTGACAGTGCCCTGCTGTGGGGTTCAACCCTGTCACCCCCTCCTATTACTGCCTGCTTGAGCAAGGCTGCTGTCTCAGTCCTGCTCAGGCTAGATGTTTAGGATTTGGGGATTATGTCCCCAGTGGGCTAGAACAGCTTGTCCACAGCCACTTAGTACCCAAATAATTTGCCTTAAACTAGATGGTGCAAGAAATTTCCTTCATGATTAAACTACCAGCTTGTTGAAAACTTCCTGTTGTTGTCTGTCCTTTGGCAGACTCTACTGTGCCAGTGATATTATAGCAAATAAAACATGGTTCTCATAACTGCTTCTTAGACCTAATCTCAGCAGAATTAAATAATAATAAAAAAATCATCATTGTCTTAGAAAATTGAATAACTTTCAAGGAAAAATACACTGAATTGGCAGTGTTATTTTTTCTCTGTGCAATCACATTGGCTCATTTGCTTAAACTGCTCTAAATATTTTTCAATGTGTCTTAAGAGTGCATTAAATGCTACAGTTCACTGGAGGTAAACAACACACTTTGTGGGTCCTTACCCTAAATTTTGGAGATCTTTTTTTCCTATTTCCTTACTGATTTGCATTTACTTTTAGCACCTTTATAATGCCATTCTGATGCCTCTAAAAAAAAAAAAAAATTCCTCTAGTCCTTGAAAGCTTTTAGAAGACAGAATTTCCGAGGTCTGCATAAAGGTGCTGACTCCAGATGATGTTGGTACTCCACGCTTGGTTCAACTTTCTTGAAAACCCTGGAATTTCTTATCTAAGGGAAGGGCTTGTGTGATCTGAAAAACACCATAATGCTTTCTTCTCTTTCCTTTTGCTCCTTGATTCTTGGTTTACTGAGGAGGTAATAGCATTTTTTCTGCTGTTTTCAATCTAGCTGGAGGGATTAGGTCCTGCTAATACTTCCTGGTAATATTAACTCATAAGAAGAGTGAAGTCTTCTTCGAGGAGATTTCATCTCTAACACTACATCACAAGTCATAGGAGTTTTTGAGCCAGCTCAAGAGACATACCTGCCTCAAACTTGTGATCATAAGACCACAGCATATTATATGGTAGATGTAGGAAAACCAAAGATGCAGAAAAATTGAAAAACGATCAAAGAAACTCTCCTCCCCTCCCCCAAAATATCCCATCAGGTAAAATGTTCACAGAAACCATAGAAAAAAAAAACGTGTATGTTAAAGACAGGCTCACCAGAAGGAAGAACTTGTTTGTTTGAATTTGCTTCAATAGATTTATCCTTAATTTAGGAAGGGTTTTGCAATTAGATGATGGTTTAGGGTTTTTTTTTTTGCTCTTCTTTTTTTTTTTTTTTTTTAATTAATGTGATTTCTCTTCATCAGTGAAGTTAATTATAAAGATCCCTTCAGGCCTGACAGGGTACAATTCAAGTGTTATGATTACTAAAAGATGCCAGAAACCTAAATTTTCAGTAGTAAGCTTTAGCTACAGCTGTAAAACAAGCATGATAATAGGGAGATATATGCAGTGCTGCATCCTGTTTTGTTAAATATGATAGTAAGTTCAAATGTATTACAGGTACACAAAGTGTGTTCAGAACCCATGTGTGATTCATGCTTTGCTTTAAAAGCATTATTTCTAGGACAGGCAAATTTATTGATCGTAGAGACAAATCAGTATTTGTGGAGGTTTCCCAGTCTCCCCAATTTCTTGCATACCTTAATTTTTTTTTGGTAAATTCAAGCTTCCTCTTGGTGGAGTGGGATCTGGTTTCAGAAGGCTGAGGTCAGGCTCCCATTCCTCTGCAGGACACCCGAGGGAGGTTGCAGCCTAGTGAGTGGGGTGGCTGTATGTGGACTGGCATAAAACTCTGGGGTAATTGAGGGTAAAACAGTGATTTGGCTTTTGCCTCTTGATTTGGTTTGCTGTGACATAGGCTTTGATAGGCACTGATGTATCAGTGAGGAGCTCACAATACCATTTGAAAGCAGTAAATCAGCTCCAATTTCACTGTCTTCATTTGTGTGCATAATTTAATTTGTGCTTGGAAGCACAGCTGTCTTGAGAATGGTTTGGTGGCTACTGTATCAAGTGATGAGAAGCATGATGAATGGAGGATGGAAGGAGATGGAAGATATCAACCATTTCAAAGACTGGAGCTAAAACAGAGACACTTGAAGGTGTTTGATGTTCCTTAGAAAAAAGAAATATTGATGGGCCATCCACCTGTTACACCACAATGACAGAAGTTTGATATTGCCTAATCCTTTAAGTCCGCTTTCCAAGCCGTCTTATAAATTAATTAATTCATGTGTCTCTCTTGGGCAAGATTATGCCTTTAATGTATCTTAAATGAGTAGAAGGTTTTCATCTCTCCATGTTTACAGAAATCCCACTCGCTCATAAAAGCAACTCTTCCTGTCTGTGTGAGTCCCAGCTCTTGTTCATAACAAGTACATGTAGAGTAAGGAGATCTCTCTCTCTTATGCCAAAATCTTAGGAGGAAAATCTAAGGAAGATATTCCCTTCTTCTCAAAGAGAATTTCTAGGAAGATAATGATAATTAAATCAGTTTTTCTTTAATTTAAATTCTCAAGTTTTGATTGTTCTTGCATGCTGAGCTAGGGAGCTCTTTGCTGACTGTATGTTGAGCTGAGGGAGATGAGTGTGAGAACATAAAGGGCACAGAAAGAAGAATGCTTAAATTGCTTTGCATCCTTAAGGGACCCCATGCCCCTAAATTGAACCGTAAACTTGAGGAAATGGCTCATCTTAATATTCTTCCTGTCTGATTTATTGGCATATGCAATAAAGAATATCTTTTTGTGTATTTCTATGGAAAAGTACCCCACATTCTAGAAAGTGACTCTCTGGACAGATGGATTTTTAAAGCTCCGTATCCATAGTGCAAGATTGCTCAATTATGCTCACCATCATGCTAACTTATAAAAGGCAAGGCATCACCTAAAATGTACTTTGGTTTCATTTTAATATTTTGTCATGTTAATTTCAATGCATAAGACTAATTTATGCTCATTTTACCACTCAGGGGCCATCTGTTTTTAATTTAATCCTAGAAATTAGGCACAAAAGCTAAATTAGACACAGTTGGCAACATAATTATTGGTGAATTGTTAAGCAGACGTGAATGCCCAGAAATGAGAGACTTTAAGTATAATAGTTATCTAAGCTGTGAAAGCCCAAGTAAATTCTTAACTAAATGCAACTTTTTCTCACAAAGGATCAGAACATGTAGAAATAAATCAGGATTTAATACATAGCAAGCTTATACAG